TATGATCTGCTTACTTACTCACTTTATGACACACTCACCAGTGTATGATCTGTTCACTTACTCACTTTATGACACACTCACCAGTGTATGATCTGCTTACTGACTCACTTTATGACACACACTCACCAGTGTATGATCTGTTCACTTACTCACTTTATGACACACACTCACCAGTGTATGATCTGTTCACTCACTCACTTTATGACACACACTTACCAGTATAATATGATCTGTTCACTTACTGCCTACTTACTCTATTAGAATTTCATCTCCAATAAAAGTACATACATGTATACTAGTAAATATATGTGAGAAGATATATTAAATATTTTTTTTTTCAGATTTGTTGAAGAATATTCCAAGAATGGAATTCAGTTATGGGGTTTGACAGCTCAAAATGAACCCACAGATGGTGCTATTGAAGGATTTTCATTTCAAGCAATGTATTTCAATGAAACATCCCAAAGAGACTTTATCAAGCTTGACTTAGGTCCAACCTTAAAAGCTAGGGGACACAAGGATGTGAAATTAATGATACTGGATGATAACAGAATCATGTTGCCAAGATGGGCTGAAACGGTATAGTTACATCTGTCATATGACTATGGTGCATATTATTCACAATTGTGAATTTAATGTGAAATATCACTAACTCATGCTATATGGTAAATATTCATGTTAAACATTGTCATTTTATGACTACAATTACCTAGCTACTACCGTTTTCTATTTATTTTATTGCATATGAAAATGTCCAACTGGATAGGTAAAATGACACTAGTTTGTAATTATTTAAACTAAAATGATGTCATTTCATAACTGTTACCTTTATTATAATTTGCATATTACATCAGACAGTTTTGAATTGTGTCTTACTGTGTTAAATTAGTTAAATTCATTAAATGTATTTGCATTACTAGTCCTTACCAAGGAATGTTTCCAGTCTATAATTTTTTATTATGAAGTTTTGAACTCAAGATGTCTTCTCAGCTTTGCTTTTGAAAATTTTGAAAATAAGGCTTGCTACGCTTCAAGAGTTACAAAAATATTTCTTTGCAAAATTGTGCAATACCGGTACTGGATATTTCTAAGAGCGAAAATGTATTATGTACATTTCATTTTGTTTCAGGTGTTGCAAGACCCAGACGCTGCACAGTATGTCTCTGGTATTGCTGTTCATTGGTATTTGAATTCCTTCATACCAGCAAACATTCTATCAATCACACATGATAAATGTCCTGATTATTTTATACTGTCTACTGAAGCCTGTGCAGGGTCATTCCCTCTAACCAAGCCTGTCATGCTTGGAAACTGGGAACGAGGTGAATCATACAGTCATGATGTTATAACAGTATGTATTTATTTCACATCAATTTTGCAACTTTTTTCAAGTGAATTGTTGGGAATATATGCACATTTTCTAATTTTCTATCGCTAGAATTAAGATATACAGAAATGTGATCAGATGTTGTACAATACTAGTCTGTTCTTTGAAAACCATTCATAAAGGGA